GTTTTGGTGTTTAATTAGCTTTCTAGTAGTTTAGTAACGGTTCAAAATGCAAGGTACTTAAAATTAGGAAAAGAAATATAGGTATTATTCACCTGTTGTAAACTTTTTAAATCTTCCCCCAAAAGTAATTTTAAATTAAACTACAAGAATTTATGATTACTTACAAAATGTAATTATTTCCAACTTTTAAATTTATTAAGTGCGATAAATTGTTTGTTTACTATAAAACTAATTACTGCTGCATAGCAATCAAAAACTTCTATCCATACAATTTACTGGATGTTGCTTCATCATGACTAGTTCTTTTGTAACTGTCGCTGTATCATATTTCTAAGTTAACTTTTGGAGGCTCCACATGGACCCAATTGGATTTTTCAACACATTTTTCTAAACTATTTATGCTCCAAATTGCTTGTGGGCTCCAGACTTGATAAATATTCAAAATGGTCAGCCAAAAGGAAGATCCTTTGAGGAAGTTCACAAATAAGTTTGTTAATTTAATATTACTAGTATGTACTAATCAAGATTATTCACATAATTTGCTTCTTGGTGTAAAAAATATCCAAATGAATAAAGTTAAAGCTTGGTAATACAAATAAATAAAAAATTAAGGCTTGGTAGTACAGGTAAATTAAAAATCCTAACAACACTGTATTGACAATAACAGGTGAAACACACATTCAATCCAAAATACTCATTAACAAGATTTGGAGGAACAAGACTAACGAATTAATGTCAATCTCGGTGAAAGTTGTACTCCATTATTTTAAGAGCAACACAGTCAAATTGCCGTTCTTGTCATTTGTTAACCATTTTAAACTCAGAAAACTATGAAAGAATTTATAACAAAATTTATTAGTCAATTGTAGGTGATGTAATTTCATTCAAAGCTGAAAATTATGTATTATACTAAACCTTTTATATTTTTGTTTTACAAGTCAATTAACCTTGCTCATGTTTTCAGCTGCCACAAATGGTCTCACTAAAACTTCAAGTCTCTCTTTCAGCCATGGTAGTCCAACAGTGAAAAATGCAAACAAAATAGCTCTTCTGGATGACAAGGAACAGGTTGATTCAGCATGTTTATATTCCAGATTTAACAGGTTTTGACCAATAGTGGAGCCATTTGAATACAAAGTCAGCTGAAAGATATACGTATAAAACATGTTTGTATTTAATGAGTAACCAGAGATCAATAAAATGATCATAACAAATGTAGTAATGGGAATAATATTCAACTGTCAATCTGAATGTTCATTAAAAAATCAGATTGTCAAGTGTTTTCCTCAAGTCAAAATAAAATCAATGTTAGTACTTACCTTCCAAACTACAAGCTTCAACAAGGCTTGCAGTTCTGGTCCTATACTAGTAAAAAGTCCAGCCTATAATGAAAAACAATTATCAAATTCCTTTTAGCACCTAAACATTGTGTTTCAGATTTGATACAAAAAATCAATTACTATTACTTATACAACAAATACAAGACACACTTAAGATGCTAGTTGTTAAGTCTTGAAAAAAACAATTTAACAAAAGGACTTATCAGATATGGTTATTTAAATAAATTTAGAACTGCTTTCTTACAGTTTATGTGCAAATCATCAAATTCATTAGGTTGCGGTTAAACTCACCGTAAACATTTTCAAGTCTAAATGTCAAACAAGTATTGTATTCATCCACAAAAATACTGATTTTAGAGTAAAGTGAGAACAGTTTTATTAGTCTGTAGGCAAATCATCTATTTCATTTCGCTTAACTTCTACCTACCTTAAAATATTTCAAAGCTTCATTTACTCGTCCACAGAGTAGTGAAAGCAGTTCTTCATCTAAGGCTGCAGCATCCAACTAGTGAAAGATCAAGACATTTTATAGTAGTGTAAAACAATATCATATTCTAAAAATATTCAAATGATTAATAATTTAGACAAAATTATCCACACAACCATACTCAGTCATAACTAATAAAATGCTTTAGTAAAAAAGAAAGCAGAAACAAAAGACTGTTTACGAATATTTGTAAATTAAAGATAAGATTCATGGTTTCGGAAAGCGTGATATCAAGGTAAAAGAAAAAGTTTTATGAATAAAGGGGAAATATAATATTGTTGATTATTTTTTAATTTCGTGCAAAGCTATTCGATGGCCATCCCTAATTTAACAGTGATAGACTAGAGGGAAGACAGCTAGTAACTAATGAAATGCTTTAATAATGTATTTATAAACTTTGTTTTGCATAAAATCTTAACACTTCATGGTAAACAACAAAAATAAATACAAGATTACATTAATATTGATGAGTTAACATTCTATAGACATAATTTCAATTGAGGAATAATCTCTAATCACCAGTTGCACATAAAAAGAAATTTATCATTTGAATATTTATCAAGTCTTCCATTAAAGTCCCTTAAATTTACTGCAACCATCACTTCTGAAGGCAACCCATTCCAAAGACCAACCACCCTGTTAGAAAATTAAAACTGTCCTAGCTGAAGATAACTCCTAACCTGCCAAAACTTGTATTTATGTTCTTTGGCTCTACTATTCTCACCATTAAGTACAAAAAGAAAAGAGGATGCATCAGTAGTAAAAATGTCCTTAGTAATCTTAAAAACTTTTATCAGATCCCCTCCAACTCTTCTTTTTTCAAGAGAAAACAATTCCAGAGATCTTAACCTCTCCTTATATGACAACCCCTCCATCCCAGGCACCATTCTAGTTGCCCTCCTCTGAACCCTTTCCAACAATTCAATGTCTTTCCTAAGACTGAACACAATACTACAAATGTGGCCTAACCAGTGACCTATACAATGCAACTTTGACCTATTTATACTTATATTCAATATTTGTGTAAATACAACCTCAAAATCTATCTGTCCTACCACTAACACACTGCTTGAATGGCTTAAGGAACTGATAAACCAAAATACCAACATCCTTTTCTTCCATAACACTGTTATAATTATTCCCATGAAAATTAGATTTATACTTCAAATTATTATAACTCACATGCATTACCTTGCATTTATTACAATTAAAAATCATCTCTTGTAAAATACTTTATGAAAAATACAGATACACCAAATTTACACCCTTAAGTCATCTATGTATGTTGTTACCTTTTCAAAGAATGCCAAAAGATTAGTAAGGTAAGATTTTCTCCTAGTAAGGTCATGTTGATTATTAAACACAATTTTATACCTTATCAACTGCCTTTACAGGCCATCATTTATTAGACTTTCAAAAACTCTTCCCATTACTGATATAAGACTAATAGGCCTATTATAACCTGGAAAATCTTTATTACCTCCTTGAAAAGAGAAGTAACACTAGACAACTTCTAATATCCTGGTACTACGCCTATTCAAGGACTTACAAAAAATATTAGCTAGTGATTCACGTATCCAATCCTTAACCTGCTTGAGGAAATATTATTTGGCTCAGGAGACTTACAATTCTTTCAACTTTCTAATTTTTCTTAATGAATTAATGTAATAATCTTATTCAATCTTGTTTTCATCTAGCAACTGGTTAGAATGTGTAATATTGCTCAAGTTTTCCTTAGTAACAATTGAAGAAAAAGTATAATTCAGTAATGTAACCATCTCACAATCATGAGAAATGATCCTTCCTGTATCATCTATCAAAAGCCCTACTCGCATTCTAACATTTTATTTGCCCTTAATGTATTTAAATAGATTTTTATTGTTAATGTTTTTCATTTCCTAATGTTTTGTTTGATCAACTTTCTTGATCTTTGTTCCTCTAAGTTTTCATATTAGCAGTAAACTTAAATTTCTTAAAATTATGATTTTTTAAAATTTTATCTCTTATGGCTATACCCTTTGAGAAACAATGTGGTCTTACACTTGCAGTCACTCCCTTTTTTTTTTCCAGAAGGAAAATGTCCATCTTAAACACTCAAAACTTTGTTTTTAAAAAGTCTTCACATTTGATTAGCTTCTCCAATTTTTTAAAAATTTGTAACCAAAATTTCATTATTCCTGATTTTTGTATGCACTAAAAGATTAAACCTAATTGAAAAAAATGATCACTTGCACCTAAATGTTTTTATATCTTCACCATTTCTTTATTAGAAATTAACAATGAATATACAAAAGCATGGCTTTAGTAGGTTCTCTGACAAATTGGTAAAGAAAACCATCATGAACACTATTTGACTTTGAAATTTACCAATCTATACCTCTGAATTAAAATATTCTGTAATTATGATCTCATTAGGATACGAAATCTTTATGTCGATGTAACTTTTTTATTAAATCTCAATTTTCATCACTTTCATTTGATGATCTGTAACAAACTCCATTTAAATGCTTTCTCTTGTATGGTATTATTAACAGAAATCCAAACGGATTCTATCAAACTTCCACTTCTTTATTTAACTTTAGAATACTACTTCTATGACTATTCTACAATTAGAAATTCTGGTTCTGCCAGCGAGTTCAGTAGCCAGTACTTACTAAACCTGTTGAAGAAATAATATGATGAATGAAAATGAGAAATCTCGATTTTGGCTATTCCCCAGTTTTCGACCTTGGGATGCTGTGGATAGCTGAAAAAAAGGAGGCATATAGTAAACGCTGAAGATAGAGCAACTATGTCAGGTAGCTCTTCATATCTAGCTTCTGTCCTGATGAGCTGTAGAAAACAAATCCAGATGACTTGTGTATTGCTTTAACTTTAAGTTTAGTACGGGCGTCCGTGCCATCCCTATATAAAGAGTATTACTACTACTAGCACACTCTCCAGTGTAACTTACAAGTGTGAGTGTGACTGAGTTGTAATTTACACTTTTACAAATTACAATGTAAATTATAATATAAATGTGAAGAGTACGAGGTTGTACTTACAATATAAGTATAACTTCGTACTGTATAGTTATACAATCCTATATTTTAAAGAAATTTCTGTCATCAAACTTGTCCAAGATTAGATATGACTATGACGAATCTTAAAATGAGTGACCATTACCTGATTTACTCTACTTTCCTTAACATCCGCCATACTACTTTTGCTGCCATCTAACTAATTTTATATTAAAAACAACAACAAAATCATTCCTAAACTTTAAAACTATTATAAAATAATCCTTGTGATAGGATACAATCATACATAAGATATATATTAATAGACGTATATTTTATAATTTGTATTGATTTCACGTTGCCTAAGACACTAAACTATCACAAAGAAAATTTACTAACGGAAACATTAACTATACCTTTTGAAAAAAAAATATATATGTGTGTGTGTATATTGTACAGTGTATCCCCGTTATAACGCGATCGCTGAGGTTCATATAATGTCATCGCGAAAAAAGCGGTATCGCGCTACTCGAGGTTCAAGAAAATCACTGTTCAAACTGACCCAGTGTTGACCTAACATCGTAAAACACCTCTATTTTCGCCCTCTTTGACTAGTTTTTTACACGTTTACTTTCTGGCAAGTAAATTACCTCTGAATTAAAGAATTTTGGGAATGAATCGTTGTTGTTACAGTAGAAATTAAAACACAAATTATTTTTAGTAGGCTTTTTAATAAACAAAACAACAAATAAAAACATTCAAGAATATTAGCAATCATCATTTGCAGTTTATTTCTTAAAAAACTGATCGAGTATTCCTTGCTTGAACGTTACGAAGTCGGTCCCAGGGACCGAGCCCATGTCGAAAGAGTTAATGACCCATCGCGTTAAATCGGGGTTTCACTGTACTACGGGAACGTACTATACGTTTTCCACCCCTTTAGTTAAAAAGTAAATTTTCAAATTATGTTGTTTTTCATAGTTCCCCACACAGAGAGAGGCGCTCAAGTGCATTACTAGCTTTTACTTTCTTGAAGTGGCAAACGAGGTTAATAGAAGACGAAGTCTCTATATTTGATTATCTTACAGGTATAAGAATATTGTTTTTAAGTAATGAGACGAGTTATTCTTGTCGGTAAATGAAATAATAGTTCTGAATGGTGTCGCCCTTTATCTTCACTGCATGTTGGCCAGCTGGTCTAATAAGAGTCAATCACCTCTTTCTTGTATCAGAAACTTTCAATTTTCCATATTTTTTCCACTGTTTTAACAGTTGTGAGTCAGTAAGTATTTAGCTGAAACCTCAATTTCTTCTGTATTTTCTTTGTACTTTCATTTTTTCTCGTTAAGATTTCAAGCAACTTGTAAGCATATCTTATGCTATTATTTCCGTGCTTGTCTTAAGCAAGCAGGGTTTAAAGTGTTATTGCAGCATTTGTTTACGTTGGGTGTAAACAGAGTTAGAGTGTAGCATTTGGCTCTATTATTTATGGTTTAAAGTGTTTGTTTAAAGCTTCATTGGTAAAATCCAAGTAAGATCTTGGATTTCACATAGAGTGTGTGTATAGTTTAACATGATGTGGTATCTAACTCACTGAACTTAGGGCATGTTTTCACTTAGTGTTTTTTTTCCTTAGTTTAATTTACAAGGAGAACCTACATGCACTCACAAGAGCTCTATATTTTCATAAAGTTTTCTTTAGCTCTTGTCAAGCACACATTCATTTACATATGATCACTTGGCTAATACTTTATAGCTTAGTACATTGTATTTTAGTTTATTGTAAATGTGAAAGTGATATTAAACATTTGTTCTTTGTGTAAACTTGTGTCTAGTCTCATCCTTTGTGATCCATCTGTTGTAACCCATCAGGAAATTTACACCGAAATCAAATCTGAGAACCCCCAGTTGATAGTAGACACATCTTCTTTGCTCTATTATCTATCTGAGAAGTATCACAATGTTAACACAAAGACTCGAAAACTAGTTTTAGCACTTTAATGTATCCTCTTCAGCTGTACTCAGTTTCTAGTGTTTGCACTAATATTTTGTTCCAGAAATATGGTTTATTATTTACATAAATTTAACTAACATAAACAGTATTATGTATTTTCGACTATGTGGTATTCCTGGTAAATGCATGTGACGGGCTGTTTCTTGTCCAGAAAGCAGGCAACATTGATTAGCAAAGTCACCTGTCTTGGTGGGTAAGCATTCCCAGTAATGGTCAGCAATTATGGGCAGTCAGCTATCCAGCATTCTCTGGAATGGTCAACGGAATGGCAAATTAAGTGGAAGTGACAGAGGCTAGCTGTAATGCTAGGATTGCGTGTGTTCCAAAATGTCCAGGAGAAAGTACTTGGATCCTGACATATCTGAGGCCACTGGTTGAGGATTGTGCATGCAATCTGGATTCAACTCAGAGGCTAGTTATCAGTTATCTGTTAGTTGAATATCTGATATATCTGTGGAATCAGATGGGCAATTAGATAAGAGCATTATGTATACAGCCAGCATTAAGATACAGTAGGTGTTGTAAAATGGGATCACATATCCCTCAGAGAGTACATGGTCGTCTGCAGTAGTGATTATGAAAACAAAGGATGGCTTGAGCAGGTTCTTCATTGATTTCCAATGGATGCATGAAATTATGGTTGTCAATGTTTTCCCATTACCACCGACAGATGAATGATTGGAAGGTTCCCCTTGGTTCAACACTTTAGATCTGCTGACCTCCAGATACTGGCAAGTCGAGCTGGATGACGAGAGCAGAGCCAAAACTTCATTCTGTACTAGTGGTAGTCTATTTGAGTTTTAAAGACATGCCATTTTGCTTGTTTAATGTTCCCATCACTTTTGAGAGGCTAATGGAGATTACACTTAAGGGTCTGCAATGGAACATATGCTAGTTCTATTTGTAAGATCTCTCGGTGTTTAGTCACACATTCAAGTCTGCTGTTTTGAACCTGTCTTGGGTATTGCTGTTAATACGAATGGCCAGTTTGAAGTTGAAACCTGTAAGTGCATTTTTATGTGCATGAAAATAGAATTTCTCTGCAACTGTTGTGGAAGAGACTCTGTCTTTATGGACCCTGCTAATATCACCATGGTTTGAGAATGGCATCCACCTGTGACATGGTAAGAAACATGAAGTGTTATTTGTTTAGTTTTGCTTCATACTATCGACGTATGTATGTAGCTATTGCATGATGAAAAATAACTACTTGTGTTTGTGACAACAGTGAATGAAAAGATTTGATCAGAAAGCTAAAATCTCTAAATATGAAGTTAACCATTCTTTGAAGATTCAAAGAGCCTGATATTTTCAGTAATGTGGAAGAGAGAAGACTTCAGATCTGACATTAAATGTTCGCCAGCTAGTGAATTTTCGTGGAAAAGATAAGAGTGGTGGTTAGACTCATGCTACAATAACCAGAAAACACAGTTTGACTTGTTGTTTTGATGGCAGTAACTAAGAACTTTTCACTTAGAACAAACTGCATTGTTTGAGACTGGGTGAAATCAATGTGTGAAGTGAAATTCACAAACGATAGCAGGTATCATGCTTAAGCTAAGCTTAGTGTACCTAACGTTTTATTTGGTTCTAATTAGATGTTTTTCAATCGCGCAGATTTAAATATTCCTCAAATAACACAATTTTCTGAATATTTTCTTAACATTTCGTATGAGGCAAAGTTATAATACACGAGAATGCAGACTGTGCACTGTAATAAAGAAGTTCCACCTATGTTGTATTTGTCTTTAACTAGGCTGACTTGAATTTGAAAATATCCAAAAATAATTTCTTTGTTTCGAATTAAACATAAAGCTACACAATGGGCTATCTGTGTTCTGCCCATCACGGATATGGAAACCCAGTTTCTAGCATTGTAAGTCCGCAGACATACCGCTGAGCCACTGGGGGGGGGGGGCATCAAAAAGAGAAACCAGATGTTGTCATTAATGAATTTCCGTTGTGAGCGACTTAGTTTGTGGTTACTTGTGAAGGTATCAAAATTTTCAGTCTTACCCTACCCCATTTCTTTCATGCTAAAGGGCTTGGCATGGCCAGGTGGTTAGGACTCTCAACTCGCAATCTGTAGGTTACGGGTTCGACTCCCCATCCCATAAAACAAACTCGCTCTTTCAGCCGTCGGGGCGTTATAATGTAACGGTCAGCCCCATTATTCGTTGGTAAAAAGAGTAGCCCAAGAGTTGGCGGTGGGTGGTGATAACTAGCTGCCTTCCCTCTATTCTTTCACTACTAAATTGGGGGCAGATAACCCTCGTGTAGCTTTGTGCAAAATTCGAAACAAACAAACAATTCCTGCTGAACCAATGTTCTGTTTTGTATAACTATGCAGTAGTAAGAGGAATGTGGCTGAGTTTAAGGACAGTTGTGACCATCGCTGCGGTACTAACAACCTTGCAGAGCACAGCTAAATTGTAGTCAAGTACGAGGGTAGATGAATCCTGAGTGGGCCACGATGTCTGTAGGTGTTAGGGATACATTGTATACAGGCAGTATATGTGTACACATAAACCTAAATGTCATTTGACCATTGCCATAATTTAACACCCTGTCCCTAATGGGAATTTTAGGACAGTGGGTTTGGTTATACATGGACTATTACAGCTTTGAACCACACTTTTAACCGAGTTTTCTGAGAAATCAGAGTTAATTTGACTTTTCATTTTCAATCATTAACCTTTCTGTTTAAGATGAAATTCTTAAACCCCCTGGGTACATTGTTTTCAACTAGACAGTTGTGGATAATTCTATTTGTGCTGCCTAAATCCTGGAGTGTTTTTAACATAATGGAGAGAGTGTGTGTGGTTAAGCTATTATTCGGTATCTAATATTTTGTGACAAAAACTAGCAAAATGAAAATATAGTCTTGTGAAATTTTTTACTGAAGAAACTTTACAGTCCAATATTTCCTTGTTGTTATGTGCTGAAACATCCATGTAAGAAAGTTGTTGATTTTTACTGATGTTCTGCCGTGAACTAATTTACATATTCCTCTGCACCATAGATGATAAAACTATCAACCACGTACCTTCGATGGTGTATAGGTTTGACACTCTTCGGACACAAAAATAGATGGCGCTAATATGAAACCCATCGCAACATATTTTCGGGTTAGTTTTTTTCTCAAGATCATTAATATTGTCAAAAACACCATACCTGTTTTTAACAAAAACTTCGTTGCAAAGTTGTTTTTTTATTATTATTATTGCAAGCTGCTATTGTTAATATATATATATATATATATATATATATATATATACAATAATAAATAAACAAAACAACAAAAATAACAGTGTTAGATAGTAACTAAACTTATGTTTTCTTTGTTACTAATTAAATTTAAAGTTTTACGGTTACCAAACTAATTTAAAAGTAA